GTGTCGGGTTTCACCCTGGCTGCGATGACAGCCGTTAATCGCTGTAGTTTGTCGCTGCCCGTGTGTCGAGCCCTTCAGACCAGGTTTGATTGTAGTTTTTCTAGAACGACAGGAGGGTTGAACTGAAAATGCTGGTTAAGGTTAACTAACGGAGAACAAAGAATAACGGTTTATGGTAATACGGTGTAGTAAGGTCTCTCTGCACTGAGTAGTAGTTTAGGACAGGAAGTCCTTCCTACCAGTGGCCATCAAACTCTATAACTCAAACTAGATCATCTGTACATTCACATTTACATTAATACCTCTGTACATTTTTAATATCTTTAGTGTTTATTTGCCATTAATTTACTGTATTTTACCCACGACACTCACCAAACATGTACAATATACCAAACATCATCTCTGTACACCTTTTCTTAATACTTCTATTATTTTTAGTGTACATTGCTTGTGTGTACTTCAGTGCTTATTTTGTAATCCTGGGTGTTTATACTTATTTTATTTTACTGTGCTTATTTCTTTCTTTTCACATTTCTCTGATGTGAACGGTTGCAGCTGTAATATCTGTTATTTCTCTCACAGATCATTAAGGATTCTGATTCTGATTTACGGACTGAAACAGATTGAAGATCGTCTCACAGTCATTAAAAGTTTCAGATAAATCTGAACTCGGCACTCGATCTGTGACGTCAGTCTTCTGGAGTCCAAACTGAAGAACCAGCTGTGGAAACGTTTTTCCTGCACAACTCTTATTTCTATCCTGATCCTAAGAAAACCTGATGGTTTCTCTGGTCACTGATGGTCAGACCAGCACGTCTCAGACTGACCGGGTTGATCCAGCTTTTTGAGTTTCTGTTCAGCTTTGGTTTTGTTTTACCTTCAGATCCTTGACGTCCTTGTTGGGTCTGCAGAGAACCTGGTAGTAATCCACCACCCCATCCTCGGTCCACAGAAGAGTCACAGACGAGTGTGTGGTGTTGACCGTGAACAGAGACTTGGGAGGAGCCGGATCTGCAGGAAGAAGCACCAAGGCAAAGGTTTCACTGAAAGGAAAACCTGAACGACTGAAGCGGGTCAGAGCCCAGCCAGAACCACTTCCTGTGAGGTCTGAAAGTCTTCAAGAGCCCAGAACAGGAAGTCACAGTCACAAGTTTTATTTCATCAAAAAGATTCAAAGAAACACAGAACTAAAGAGCTGCTGGTGTGAAACCTGTTTCTGAACATGAATTCAGAGTGAAACCTGTTTCTGAACACTAATTCAGAGTGAAACCTGTTTCTGAACATGAATTCAGTGTGAAACCTGACCTTTAACCCTGTCTGTGTTTACATATAACTATCCAGAAATGGTTGAACCAATCAGAGTTCTGACCCAGCTTGATGATGTTGGGCACCGACGTGTTCCTGCTGCGTTCGGTGCATGCTGTCACCGTCAGGTTGTAGATGTCTCCTGGAGGCAGCGGCAGGCTGGCCCGCATCACGTTACGAGTCACCTGAACACAAAGCAACATGTTTCTGTGGGGTCCGTCATCAGGGGAACCTGCTCAGGTGGTTCAGGTGAACTTACATCAACAGAGAAGCTCTTCTGGGCTCCTTTTCTCCCCACAGCCACCACCTGCCAGTGCAGCATCCTGGAGTGAGACAGGTCGACGAAGAGCTCGCCGTACGTCCAGCGGACTAACAGAACACCATGGGAGTAATCAACCAAGGAGATGTGAGGAGCTTCAGGAGCTGCAGGGGGAGGAGCAACKGGTCCAGTTGATATTAAGTTCCAGTGAGATGAAGGCCAAAGGTCCGTCCTCACCTGTGATGAAGCTGACTGTGGAGCTGTCGCAGCAGCTCAGCGGTGGCTCCCCCCATGTGACCATGGAAACCCTGAAGTTATAATACCAGGCGGGCAGCAGGTCCGTGACTCCCTGAGGGTGACAGAGAAGCAAAGTGACGGGCGGCACCGACAACACCACAACACAATCCCAACACAAAGCTAGCGTTACCACAGAGGCCACGACAGAGGCGGTGGCAGCGATCTCGTAGTAGGTGGTCCACTCAGAGGCCAGCGTGACCGGGTTAAAGAAGAAGGTCTGCAGGATGTACTTCCTGAAGGCCACATGGTACGGACGCTGCCATCGCAGGATGACTGCCGTCGGGCTGAGAGGGTACACTGTCAGGTCACGAACACCTGTGGGCTCTAACACAACACACACACCTGTTTCAGCCACACACACACACACACACACCTCTGATTCTCCAGTCCTGAGAACATAAACAGATAATCACCGATGTCGATGATGACGGGCTCAGAGGGAGGACTGATCAGGGGTCCGTTAGTGTGGTAGACCACCACTCGGTACTGAGCACCTGGTGTCAGGTTGCTGATGATGTCACTCGTTGAGTTTTCCTGCYAAGACATCAGAAAAAGTTTTCTTCTCTCCGTGGTGCCAAGGAACCTCTGAGCAAGACACTTCCACACAACATCTTTAACTAAAGGTATGGACATGACCTGTAGGGACATGGTGGGACCTGTAGGGACATGGTGGGACCTGTAGGGACATGGTGGGACCTGTAGGGACATGATGGG